AGTTGTTGATTTTTTCCTCTGGTGACACATTTTTCTATTAACACTTAGTATCCTTTCTTCCAATAACAGACTTCCAGAAAAGGTCCCAGTTTTTTCAAACTTTTGGCAACCTATTATTTTCTCCTCTCACATTAAATAGCTGCATTTTTCACATTATTCTTAATACTTGATGTTAACATATACTACACAATTATGATATTTAAAATTTTAAATAATTTCTGAAAGGCATATGACTGGCTAAAGAGAAATACCAATATAAATTCTTTAGATTAAGTAACTCAAACTAAACACTTGCATGCATTAACAACTCTTCTGGTAAAATGGTATCAAAAGAGATAAAGCTAAAATGATTATAGCAATGAGATTTTCTGACATCATAGAAACTGTATTCAGTCAGCTCTGTTGCTGAGATGCTGATTATTCATGTGCCATCTAGCCTTCTCTCCACTTTAGTAAGTTTTTGGCTACTCACTACTCATTTGTACCTGTCCTCTTTGGTGGACAAAGGGGAAATAACATAATAATAAAAATATAATGATAATGTCCACATGTTCTGGTTAACAAAAAAATAAAAAAAAAAAAGAAAAAAAAAGAGAAAAAAATATAATGATAATGGAAAATATGAGTAACATCATTGACTTAAAAATTTTAAATACCATTGTTATTTCCGTTTCAAATTAGAATCAAAACATCTGAAGAACAGACAAAAATGTAATAAGTTTTGTTGTTAAAAACTGCACAATGATAATGAAAGAAGTCAGGGAAAAGAGACTTTCCTGAAATTAAACCATCATCATCCCAAAGTTAGCAGAAATGCTAAATATTAATTGATATATAGAATAACAACATTGGTTCAAAATACTTTAAGCAAGTTGATTCTAATACCTTCTCACATTCTACTATGGAATATTCTAGAATTCAATTGAGAATGGCTAAATAGAGAATATAATGAAACTGTAATTTATAAATTTTGAGGATTATTTCTAGAATAGAAGGTAACAAATGTGGGTACTAAATAATACACTCATTCATTAGTTAATTATACGGTTAATAATACTAGCAAGTAGAACCTACTAAACATACATGACTTATTAACTACACTTGCCAATACTTATATTTTTTAAAGCAATAGTAGTAGAACTAGGTGAAAAATCTAATACTTGTACCTATTAGTAAACTACTTAATGTTTGTACATGTAAACTTTATCAATTAGATTCTAGGTATATCTATGTATATTAGAGGTCATGTCAAAAGCTTATTTAATGAAGTTAATTACATGTTAATAAACTTGAGCTAGATAATCTATTGATACATGAAGTATAAGAGAAGTAGTCAGAGACTAGAGAAAAGTCCAGCAAGAGGCTAGCAGCTCTGTTAATGAATATAATGCCATAGTAAACCAGAGCTGGACACATAGTAATTTTATAGCAATACATGTAAGAACAAACTGCCTCATGATCTAGCACACAGAAAATTTTGTGGCCATAATCTAAATTAGTTTATACTTCCTGGTTGAAAGTGTTATCCTAGCTTAAGTTTTCATGATTAGCATTCAAAATTAATATGCCCTTTTGAGCTAAACATATCTCCAACTAGTAACTTGCATGGAAGTCACTTGAAAGCCGGATAAAGAATAGTTATAATTAGCCACCACCCTTAGAGAAAAATACTTGTATACATTAGCAAAAATGCACCAATTTTAATCTTAATTCTGACGGAAGTTTTAACTCAGTTTTTACATTAAACTTTATGTATCTTATGTTGTCTACTTCATTACTATTAAAAATAAACTGCTTTCTTCTGAAAAAGAGGTTAATAATATGTTAACTACGATTTTAATAGCCATCTTTTAGGTTAACCACAAATATTTTTAATACAACTCTTCAGCAAAATGGTATTTTTATTATAATGGAACATCAGCTAACTTAATATTTGTAAACTGTAAGTCTGGGTTATAAAGTACCAACAGCTCTTTAACTGAATGCCTACTGTTTGGGATATTATGAACTCAGTCTTTTTGCCTACAATCTTGAGTCTATACTAAGCCCATATACATTTTTGTTTGTGGAAAACAACAACAAATACGATTGTTCAGGAATCGTAATTTATGGTACTTAGGTAAAAACCTTACATTTGCAGAAGCCAAATAAATGACTTCACTGATAAAAAATATCCTTTAGTTTTCTTAACATTTTGATTAAAATTAAGTGGAACATTTATAAAGAAATGCTTCAGTCCAACATATAGATTACATCAGTAATTTAGTTACTTAAATGGTTATCCAGAGTATACAATAAATTGGTTACTAAAGCTACAGATATAACTCTGGTCAAAAAGTTAAAAAAGAACAAAGAAAAGGAAAGGTACAGAAAGAATTATTTGTTCTTTTAAGGCAATAGAGCCAATTTAAAAAATCATTCCAAACTGAGATAAAAAAGCTAAACACATTTTTTTTAGATATTCATTAAAACACATAAGATACTTGGTTGCCATTGCAACAGTAAATTTCTGTGTTTTGTAATAAATTGATAATTCTAAAGTAACAGTTTTTCTAATTCTAAGGAACTGATTTGTCAAAATAAAGTTTAAAATAAAATACCTGAAATGGCTTATAGTAGTTTATCTTGATCTGATATAAATTAGTGATTGATAGCAAAAAATATGAGAAAATTCATAAATGAAATAGCACATTATTATGAACTAGAAATACCATAAACAGTGACATGTTCATTTTCATAAAATTTTACATTTTTTTACATATATTTCCCCTAAGTTTATACCTCTGACATGTTCAGAATTTGGCTATAGTATTTACTTAAGGGCTAGTACATTTGTAGAGTCAGTATAATTACGTCAATTAGCCAAAAGAGGGCGCAGAAAGAACACCAGAGTTTTCGCAATCCCTAGGAAACTGCCAGTTGGTTTCTCTCTAGTAATCTAACAGGAAGTACAAAACCCACAGTAGGGTTAGGTTTGCTAACTTGGGAATACTGAAACTTACCACATAAGTATATATAGATATACTTTAATATAGATTCTTATATAAATATATTGATATGTAGCATTTCTGCCATTTAAACAAAATAAGCATATGCTTTTCCAGTGTATTAGTTTGTAGTCCAATAACTTAGAGGAATTAGGTACAGAGGAATCAGGACCAGGAGGGTAAAGAGAAAGAAGGGAAGAGAATGTGCCCTAGTGGTGGTAAATCCAAGAAAAACAAAAACACTAATCTTCAAAGTGGGAATGAGACCTCCTAATACCTTTCAGCATAGCTACTGCCACCACATGATGTGTATATATGGCCACAAAGCTCTTTAGGGGGTCTTCACTTGGCTCTGCTCTTTTTTCAAGGTCTTTATTTGAAAGGAATGTACACAACATAAGGCATTCAACTGATATCTATCTACCCACATTATCTATCCATTACTTTGTTATAATAGTCTGTCACCAGGCCAAATTTGGTCAATTAGCTTGCACAAAATCCAACCCATTTGCCTGACATGAACATACTAATTTTGTGTTTCATTAAGCTTTATAAATATATTTCTTATATTAAATTTACTATGTCTCTTTCAGTACCAATAAATATGTTCATCTGCCACTTCTAAGTTTTTAAGTAATAAATATTAGCATTATAATTAGAATATGAAAAACATGATATTAACATCTCTGAGAAGAGCTTATTCTATTACTTCAGCATATTCTATAAGATATTTACAATTTTTGAAATAACTAACCACACTGTAGCCAATTGGCTGACAATGGTAACCTTCTGCTTTATTATTTTCCAGGTATGATTCCTCACTTTCAAAACTAACTAAAAGGAAAACATTAATATGGTTCAAGAACAGTAGACTCTTTCCATCTTCTCTTCAAGGGAAGGAATGTGAGTACATAAATGTTTTAAAAGTATATATGGGTTTTGCAGTTTTCTAATGGAAAAAAATTAAAAGCTGACTTTTTTCAAAGCATACTAAATGTCTTTTCACACAAATGGTCTATGCTTTCCAGGAGAATATCACTATTAACAATTTAAATTTGTATAAGGCTAATGATAAATATAGATCATTATATTTTCTTATTTTAAGGTCATTTTCTAACATTAGCTACTAATAAAAAGGTCTCTTGATGCAAATTATAGCTGGCCAATTAAAATTTAATTTCAATTTGGGTGATTACAAGTACATAAAAATTAGTGACTTATTTTTAGTAGGAGCTGCTTATAAATAAAATTTCACTATGAGTTGGCCAATATCTATTATATATAAACCTTTAGTGTATAATTTTAGATCTACTAGTAGATAAATAAAAGTAAAAAGTATATATTTTTTTCAAAAGCACAATATTCCTCTTTATACTGTACATTATATATTATCTAGTTATACTAGCATTTTAAAAACATAGGCATTCTAATACAACTTCACTAGAAAAAGTAACTGTGGAATTATTGCAAATTCTCTACCCATTTTGCTCATTAACATCTTAGGGTAAAATAGAAATACATGCCCACCAGTCACAAATTCTCCTAGGAACAAATATTCTAATAACAATCAATAATTATAACAGTAAAGAGAAAAAAATGGGAAAATTAATGTGGAAAAAATTTTTAATGTTTCTTTTATAAGAAAGTAGGTAGTTGGTGTTTTATTTTAGCAGTGTTTTAATTCTGGTTTTGGTGAAGAGAAAAGAAGAAAACATCAGAAAGCTACTCCTAAGAAAACAGTGCCCTTTTATTGTTGTTCACTCCTATGCTGCTGCATTTTTAAAAATCTTGCAGCACATATAATAAAAGGAAATATTAAGTATTTTAAAATGTATTTGAAAAGTAAAATTTACATATATATAAGAAGGTGTATCAATTTTTGTAAAACTTGAAGAATTAAATTCAGACTTGGTTAGTACTGCTTAAAAGTGAAAATTTTAAATAAACATCTGAAATTTCCCACAAATTAAAATCTGTAACATTGTCAGTACTAAAAGAAATTATGTACAATTATTTCATCCCAATCACTGCCTTTTGAGTTTAATTACAAAAGCATTTAAAGAAATCCCTGTGGAAAGCTAATTTGAAAGTAAACATGCTTTAAAACTTAAATATACATCTTGTATGAGTCCCACAACAGGATCAAGATCACTATTAAAATAAAGCCTGGGGCACATTATGATGCCTAAGATTGGTGGGTGGATTTTAATTGACTTGAAGACTGTCATAGTTCTATTATCATAAAACCTGTAACGCATTTCCAGCATGGAGGACCCATCTGTGCCCACCATCCATCTGTTTAGACGTGATTGGCAAAGTGGTAGGGAACTCGCAGTGGTTGCCTCTGCCTGAAAGGAATGAACCACAGGATCTTCCAACGAGTGCCAAAAACTTCTGAGAAGGTCTGCTGCCATGGCTTTCGGGGCCTCGATCTACAGAAGACAGCATTATTAGTGAAAGACAGCACTCCCATGGTGCACTTCAGTCAGCTAAAACAATACAGGTTGGCTGGGGATCCATTACTGGACTCTGATGAATTGTGTCCCAGCATCACAAATACAGCTTTTCTTTCATTATGGCATGCAGCTGAGTTTTAACTCTGGATAGCAGATATTGTATCTGTGTCGTCAATCAACCTAGGGCAACTTTTGAAGCAGAGGAGAATCTCAGGATTAACAGAATGTGTGTCAACAACACAGTAGCAAATCTCTTTTGATGTACTTTCAGGACAAATAATTTAACTTACTTTAGTTAGACAAGGAATAAGAATGATCAGTACTTATTTTGTTCGAAAACTACCATGGCTGGAAGACCCCTACTGTAAGACTGGGGTATGCTTGTTTAGCTCAGGCTTCAGATAAGGAGCCAAGAAAAAGTCATCATTATTTTATATTTCCACTACATGCACATATTTCTGAAATAATGTCCAGTTGTTTCCATTTTTAAATAATACTATGCACTTCACTTTTATACTTACATTTCTTCACAACAGTTTGACATCTTTTCAATAGATGTTGTATCCTATTAAAAATAAAAAAATCATACTCAGATGTAACAAAGTTATCAAGTCTTTATTTTATATGTATTTTATGATGTTTTAAATCCTATGCAAAGAATATTTTGAAGAACAGTTTATATATGAGTATTAAGAATTGTAAATTATCTACATAAATTGCTAGAATTCCCTTGGAAAAAAGAATTGACATTACATTATGCCCCTCAAAATTATTCAAATACAAAACATAACAAAAAGTTTGGAAGTATCACTTCATTCAAATATAACCTTTTATTACACATGATTTCTCAGCAATTCTTTTAAAGTCTAGTATCTATTTTCAATTCAACTGTCAGTGAATATGCATTAAAAAATAAATACAAAAATGGCATGAAAGATGCTAATGAATAGAAAACTGCTGAGAGAGTGCTACTGGTTCTGGATTTCTATGAACAACAAAATTCAACAAGGCAATCTATACATTTGCCATATTATAACCTCTATTGCTCTGAAAACTAAAGTTAAATGATTATTGTTCTTTTTTCAATAAAAGAAATCATTCTTTTCATAATACTACAATTTCTTAACTGTATGTTTTCTATAAGAAAAACAATTCAATAAACAGAAGATAGCTTCTAGAAATACTGATTTAGATTGACAAACTGTTATAATAAGTAATATCCAAAAATTCAAAACACAAATAATACAATCTTATTTTTAGATATACATTTATATTTTTAAATATACTTTCAAGCAGTACAAAAGAATATATTCTATCAAATATACAAAAGAGAAGTTTTCTTCTTCCTATCCCTTCACTTCACCTTAATAGCTTGCTCACAAATGATAGAAGGTATACTATGCTATTATTAAGCATTAGCATTACTATTCATGCAAATACTTGTGGCTGCAATTCAAACCCCAAGAACTTACTTGTCTGTAGGTTTTTCCAGTGATGCTAATAAACAGCACCTTTACTTTTAAAAACTCTATTTAGAGATGTTATATGAATAGCTCATATTAAATGCTCATTATGAATAGCTGAATAACTATAGCTAGCCCACATAAGGGAAAACACATCTATTTTTTAGATGACTAGCAACCAATAACAGAGTTTCATTTATAGATTTTCCAGGAATTTGTAAAGAAATTATAGATTAGTTACATGTTCTATTTACATTAGTTTTCCTAGCATGCTGTGAAATTCATGGTATCCAATGACAATTCTATTTATAATTAACATTTCTCAGCTCTGTTGCATAATTTCCTCAAAACAATGTTTTAGTTTATGAAAACAGTCTACAAACACATGAGAATATTGATTAGAGACTTAGAGGAAACTTGAGCCTGTAGTTCCACATCTGTAAATGAAGTGAATGAAGTCACTTTTAACAGTTTCTTACAGTCTGATAGTGACAGGTTGTTCCAAAGCAATTAGAACAGCTTGTGCAAAAGTACAAAAAACAAACAAACAAAAAAAGATGGAATAGAAGTCAAGATGTGCTATTAGGAAAAGTATTGAATTGCCTAAAATCACAGTCATGGATGACACTTAAAAACTTAAACCTATTTAGGATAAGAAAGGCAATTGCAAAGTCAGACTATTACCACTAGATAATATTAAGGGAAACTTTTACTCTGTAGAAATTTATAACTTGTTTATAACCTTGAGAAATTTATTTGTGGTATTAAAAGAATCAACTTTAAAGATTTCAGATTTATATTTAGCATGGAAAAAGCTTTTATTTTCAAGGTTTTTGACACTGTTCTAGAATCGGATTCAGGAAATACCTAGAGTACTACCTATTAAATGATCATAAGCAGATGGATATTCTTTTAACCACTTCGGTATGGCACTCACCGGCCGCAAAACCTTGCCCATAGCTGGCACTCATGGTCCGCACAATAGTTTGTGCTGTGCATTGACGACGAATCTGTTTTGTTCTTGTGTGATGAGGAAAGCTTGAAAGCTTGTTTTACTTTACAGGTAGCTTTACTTGTAATGTAAATCAGAATAGGTAACGTATACATATATGTTTTCATTGCATTATTTTTAAATGTTCACAATTTTATTTTGATAAATGAAAAATTAGAAAAGTCATATCATGGCTGTCAGCTAAAGTCGAGGGTCGGCTGTGCACCTTCATTTCACGGCTGTCGGCTAAAGTCGCTGTGCGCGTTCATCTGTGGCTATTGACTATAGTCAACGCTGGAACCAAAGTAGTTAAAGGAAGTGATGTTTACTATCATTTCTGAACAGAATTTGTGAGGCTGGCCAAAATAGACTATTTTTTTCTCTAGAAATGGCAAACGTTCATCTCTCTGAAACTCAGCTATCCAGAATACTGACATAAGAAAAAAGTACAATTTGTATTTGAGTGGTCAAACATGTTATTCAATTTTTGCATTGGCACTTATACAACAAACTCAGAACAACACAAGTTATCATGTTAATCACATTCACAAGCAGGACAAAAAACGACATACTAGAAGAAGAAAGAGGTCACTACTGCCAGGAATACTGAAAACCACAAGCTATTCCCAAGTGCCAAATTAAGTTCAATATACCTACTTTGTTTTGTTTTAAAAAGCATAAAATATGGATTTTTTTACAGAATACTCTAAAAATAATTAAAATATTTTGGTGCAGATAATTTCATTCACTACAAAAAAATGAAAACTTTTAATGCTCATCAAGAAAGGACCAACTGCTACCCTCAAGGAGTATAAATATAATTTATAAGTTCTTAGTTATATGTAAAACTTAGCTCTTCAGAAAAATATACTTTTCCAGGAATCATAACAAGTTTTTACTGTAGGTTGTCTATAATTAAGATATCTTATTGCTAGAGAAATATCTATGTCTTCATTATAGTCTAATGATCAAAATACATATCTAAGACTTTCATCAGTCTGCATAACTGTAAGATATATGAGAATGCTTCACTATTTTAAAAACTAGAAGTTTAAGTATAAATTAAAAACAGCATGACTTATAGAAGTATAAGCCCTACCTATTTTATCAGCTAATACTTTCTTTTCTCCTGATGGCTGATCTTACCCTAAGAAATTATCTTTCAGGCTCAATCTAAACAATGTTCAACTATTTAAAAAATAAACTGTATTCTAATAATAAGATTTTGATGGAATGGGCATGGGGAAGTTCTTAACAGAAAGGGAGAGAGGAGTATTTATTGGCTGATATCTAAAAAGAAAAAAGGGTGGGAGAATAAAAAGCAAGAATTTATCACCAGAGGTTTCCTGTTAACAGACCTGAGAACCCAGTCTTCTTGGCAGCAATAGCTTGATGATACAATCCATCTAACTAACTCATTCTGCTTTGAGCTCATTTTTACCAAGCAACACTCTTTGCCACATATGTTGTCATAGAGGAGAAAGAATGTGCTCAAGAGTCCTTTGGCACACCTGACAATCATGCATAAGGGAATAAACAATCAATCTGTTACAACTATCTCTTTTGAGTCTGGAAGTAAGATCCATTTGCTTCTGGGCCTGATAAACCCTAGAAACAATTTCAAATGGAGTTACTAGACCTGCCAAACTGAAGACCTGATAAAGGAATATTCCACTAGACTCCTCAAAGACAGTTCAATCTAACTTCAATGATTGCAGTTTTTAGTCTTATTACAGGTCCTTTCGATGCTTCTAACTCTGCTGAACATAGCTACCTAATTCAATGACTCTATGTTAATTTAATCTACAGTTTAAAACACTATTCAGTACAAAAATCTACTCAAAATGGATGAAAGACTTAAATGTAAGACCTTAACCTATAAAACTACTAGAAGAAAACAAAAGAAAATGCTTCATAACATTGGACCACGCAAGGATTTTTTGGATAAGACATCAAAAGCAAAGGCAACAAAAGCAAAAAATAGGTAAATGGAATTATATCAAACTAAAAATCTTCTGCACAGCAAATGAAACAATCAGCAGAGTAAAGAGACAACCTATAGAAATGGGAGAAAATATTTGCAAATTATATATCTAACAAAGGGTTAACATCCAGAATATATAAGGAACTCAAATAACTTAATAGCAAGAGAACAAATAATCTGATTTAAAAAAATGAACAAAGACCTTAATAGACATAGACATTTTCTTCAAAGAAGACCTACAAATGGCCAACAGGTATATATAAAAAAATACTCAACATCATTCATCAACAAAGAAATGCAAATCAAAACCACAATGAGATATCACCTCACTCCAGTTAGAATGGCTATTATCAAAAAGACAAAAGATAAGCATTGGTAAGCATGTGGAGAAAAGGAAACCCTTACTGTTGGTGGAAATGTAAATTAGCATAGCCATTATGGAAAACAGTATGGAGGTTCCTCAAAAAATTAAAATAGAACTACTATATGATCCAGCAATCCAAGTACTGCATATATGGTTGACACTCCATATCCATGGGTTCTACATCCATAGATTCAACCAACTATGGATAGGAAATATTCAGGAAAAAAATTTTTTTTTAATTAAAATTATACAAAATATAGTATAGAAACTGATTATATAACATTTATATTATATTAGTTATTACAAATATTCTATAGGTGATTTAAAGTGTGGAGGAGGTTGTATATAGGTTATATGCAAATACTATGCCATTTAATGTAAGAGACATGAGCATCAGTGTATTTTGGTATCTGCAGAGGGTCCAAAAATCAATTCTCTGTGGATACTGAAGGACAACTATATATCTAAAGGAAATGAAATCAGTATGTAGTACTCCCATGTTTATTGCAGCATTATTCACAACAGACAACCTAAGTGTCCAACAACAGATGGATAAAGAAAATGTGGTATAGACACACAATGGAATACAATTCAATCATAAAAAAGAATGAAATCCTGTCATTTACAATAACACAGATGAACCTGGAGGACATTATATTATGTGAAATAAGCCAGAAACAGAAAGACAAATATCAAATGTTCTTACTTCTATGTGGAATCTAAAAAAAAACTGATCTCATAAAAGTAGTGGATACCAGAGACT